GGTAATGTTTTACCATTCCTGCAGCTACCTGCAACTTCCTGAAGCCAAGGAAATGGGTTTCGGGGACACAGTCTTTCTCATGGGCTCTTGTCAATATTTTGACTGTGTTTATGACATGTGAGGTCTTGATTTCCTGTCTGCCAAGTATTATCCTAATTATCTCTGTCCAACGAAAGTACAGTACTAGGCCGCATATGTAATTTTATTATTTTTTTTATTTTTATTTTTTTAAATGTTTTATTTATTTATTCATGAGAGTCAGAGAGGGAGAGAGAGAGAGCACATGAGAGGGGGAAGGATCAGAGGGAGAAGCAGGCTCCCCGCCTAGCAGGGAGCCCGATGCGGGACTCGATCCCAGGACCCTGGGATCATGACCTGAGCCGAAGGCAGACGCTTAACCATCTGAGCCACCCAGGCGCCCTGCATATGTAATTTTAAATGTCCCAGTAGCCACGTCCATAAGGTAAAAAGAAACAAGCGAAATTAATTTGAATAATTATTTAACCCAGCATATGTAAAATATCATTTCAACATGCAATCAATCTAAATTTATGAGATATTTTACATTCTTTTTCTCCCCATTAGTCTTTGCCACCTGCTCTGTATTTTATAGCCCATCTCAATTCAGACCAGCGACACTTCAGGTCCTCAATCGCCAAATATGGCAGGTGATACTGTAGTGGACAGCCAAAGTCCAGAACCTTTCAAAGGCTTACGGACAACACAGGACAGAACATTCCAAGGCGGTAGGAGAGACACAGCTTCATGATTTATGAACCCTTAAGAAAACCATACATAGGTTTCCTCCTCTTAGAGCAACCTGATATATAAAAATTCATCTTGACAGGAAAGGTAAAGCAGGAAGTGATTATTCATGTTACAAAAGAATTAACCACAGGAGTCTTTAAATAGCAAGCTCCCTTAGTGCACTGAAGAATCTGACTCAATTTGCAAAAATGTGATTGACGCTTGGCATTTTGGTACCAACTTGGTTGGGCAGAGAACTACCTGCCATTATAAAAGGCAGGCTGAGCAGTTGGTGTGTCATGGCCTACCGAGCACCTACTACATGTCATGGATGCTCATAGGAGAATGAGAACAGAAGTAAGAACTAAGGGTGAGCTGTACCCAGAAGGCCTTTAGACGCTCACTGGGAGCATGAGACACATGTGCAGCCCCCACCACAGGGGATTGCCTTGAGGCCAGGGCCCAGGGAGGACTGGGGGCCGGAGGGGCCAGGAGGGTGATATGAGGCAGTCGGGGCCCAGCTGGCGCCAGAAGGCAGACAGGGCGTATGTGATGACTTAAGTGTCTAGGAGATAAAACAAGTGTAACTCTGGAAAGACTGGGTCAATAAGATACTGGGAGGACTCAAAAATTATGTAGTTATGCTTTATTTATCCCTGAGCCCCTAATTCCTAATCCCCAGCCTTCCTTACAGTAAGCATTGATTAAGGTGTGTCCTCGAGCTCATCAAACAGAAAAGAAAGACTGAAGGAAAACCAGGGTGTGTTTCTCATCACTTTGCGACTTTAGCTGGCAGCTCTTTACTCCCCAGTAACCATCTTGAAGCAGATTTCTCCGTCCCTTTCCAGCTTCATTTTGGTAAGGCCCACATACAGAACAGAGAAGGTGAGACTTGTTCTTTAGGAAAGAAGCAAGGTTACTATTCTGGAAGTTAATGGGATTCTGACTCCCCCAAAGTACACAGGATTCAAGTTCAGTATCTAGGTGGACTATTGACTGGATTCCTCCTTAGCAGCCTTCCTATGCTCTCTCTCCCCCCACAGAGAGGTCCCATGTGCTGCTCCCCCATTCCACTCCCCACAATTTCCTGTTCCCATCAGACAGACTATGAGCTTTTATCTCCAAGTGCTAATAGGCTCCTTGGGGAGCCTAAGTCCATGTTCCAAGCCTTTTCTTAGTTAAAAAAAGACCTATTATTAAAAAAGTAATTATTTCCATGTATATATTTATGTGCATATACTACTGTACTGGTTGATTGAGAAAATCCAAAAGAAGCTTCTAAACATTTGTTATTAGGTTTAGTGGACTTGGGGAACACATAAGATTGAGTATTATATGACTTTAGACATTGGTAGAAAATGAAGGCGTTTGTCTTCATAGCTCAGGTACATACTTTCAAACATCTTGCAATCCCATTAGTTCCATACTATAATTAGGTGATTTACACCTATATCAGTGGTGGAAAACAACCTGTATTATAAATTGTCTTGATAATTTAGGGTTTTGGTCATCTCCCTGTAAGGCCTGGTTGGCCTGTCCTTGTGTTCACCTCCCCATGTAGCTGGCAAAGAGCTCATACCAGGAGCAGAAAGTGGCAGCTCCACCATTTCCTTGTTTACTTGGTCACATGTTGAGTATTCTCTACAACCCCTACTTTCTTTTTCTTTTTTTTTTTTTTAAGATTTTATTTATTTGACAGAGAGAGAGGGAGAGAGCACAAGCAAGGGGAGCGGCAGGCAGAGGGAGAGGGAGAAGCAGGCCCCCCGCCGAGCGGGGAGCCCGATGTGGGGCTCGATCCCAGGACCCTGGGATCATGACCTGAGCCGAAGGCAGACGCTTAACGACTGAACCACTCAGGCGCCCCCAACCCCTACTTTCTTAACACAAATCTTTTCAAGCCTTTCATCCATTTAGTGAGAGGTAATAGCCATAAAGAGGCTTTATCAGGAGGCCTCAGAGAACTGCAGGGGCCTCACGTAGCTGAAAGCTGGCTCTGGCTCTAGCCGCCATTCTTGTCCAAGAGCACTGCTGTCCCTCAGGCTGCTTCCTGTCTGCAGAGCACCCTCGACGGCTGGCCCTAGAGGCTGGATGAAGGAACCAGTGTCATTCTGCAAATGGAATATTCGCGAAGTTGAATTTTTCTCTTTTTAAAATTAAATTAAAATGAATTGATGTTCTAATTTTTTTTTTTCCCATCGTGTCAACTAATCCCTGAAGTGAGCTCATCACACTTGGGAGAACACTGGCTCAGAAAATGATTGTAACTGCTTTGCTGAGCTTCAGGTTCTTTAATTGGGAAGATGAACATCATAACATTGTGAGGATTAAATGAGATAATGCAGGAAAATGTTGGGCACAGAAACAGTGGTTGCTGTCGGGTCCATTCCAATAGCAGAGCTTCAATAGGTCCCTGTCTAGGTCATTTGAAGAAAGTTGTTTTTTTATTGACCTGGTTCTGATTGTTGTGATAGCTAATTTGAACTGCTGGTGAGCAGAGCACGAGACAAGAAAATAGAAGTGTTTCCGCCTTTATACTGGTCAGGAACCAGGAAGAATCTGAAAAGGTTGCTTTGTTTATGCTCTTATGTTCCTCCTTTTTGTTTATAAGTGATGAGAAGGGTTTACAACTCAACTTCATCCTGGCCAGATTCATGATAGCAAAGTCAGCCAGCTAATTTTGGAGTGAAAAAATTATCCAGGCAAGGAAATTTCACTTTGGGGTGCTGATGAACTGTCTGGGTTTGCTGACATGAATGGAAAGGGTTAGCATGCCAGTCTGGATAGCCAGGGTCTTCTGATCTGGAAGCACTTAGGGAATTCATCCCTAATGGATATGCAAAGCCCATTTGATGGGGGGCCCACTCACCTACCAACCTTTTTCCGGGAAACGTACCCCAGTGGACTGAAACTTCAAAAGTCGTGTGTGCTTTTTTGTCTCCTACTGAAGAAATCTTCACCAAACCCAAGATTACTAAGGTTTGATTCTGTGCTTTCTTATGAAGATTTTATAGTTTTAGCTCTTAGATTGAGGTCTGTGATCCATTCTGAGTTCATTTTTGTATGTGTGCTTCATGTAGGGCTCATGTAAAACCTTTCCTCTTCCATTTCTGTAATTCCTAAATTGCTAATTCACTACTTAAGGGTTCACCTAATTTTTGCTACCGTTCTATTTATTCATTTGCCATTCATTCATTCATACTGACCTGCAAATATAGAAGGAAAAGGACAGGAGGTTTATTGGTTGAGGGGGGTGTGAGGCGAGACCCAAAGTGTAGATGAATTGCATAATCCATCTATGGGTAAGTTAACACGCTCAGGATTGCTTAGCTCTGCTAACGTGCATCCGTACTTTGTCAACAAGAAGCCCCATCTGTGTCATCTGTTGCCTCCCCCTATGACTAAGTATAAAACATCACCCCAGATTGGGAGAATGCTTTAAAATGGTATTGCTGCCTGAGGGGCGCCTGGGTGGCTCAGCCGGTTAAGCGTCTGCCTTCGACTCAGGTCACGATCTTGGGGTCCTGGGGTTGAGCCCCAGTGTCTGGGTCCCCACTCAGCAGGGAGTCTTCTGGAGATTCTCTCTCTCCCTCTGCCCCTCCCCACTACTCATGCACTCGCTCTCTCTCTCTCAAATAAATAAATAAAATCTTTAAAGAATGGTGTTGCTGCCTGAGAGGCCCTCTGTTGAGAGGGCAGCTGTGCGTGCAGGCGTGAGCAGTCTGAGACGTTGGCTTGGCCAGCGGGGCCCTCAGTGCCAGCTGTCCTTACACATGTTGGGGCTGAGAGAGGGGCATTTTCTCTGTAGAGTGGCACTTATTACCACCCACATTTTGCATGCCTGAGGCCCAGAGAAGTTAATGTCACACGGTTAGCCTTGGCAAGGGTGGGGGCACCTAAGTACCAAATCTGCGTCTGTTAACTACTTTCTCTGCGCTTGGAGAAAGGATGCTGTGCTCCTTCCGGGAGTGCTGATATTGTTGGCCTTCTGCCATTGTGTGATTTCCTCTCTGAAGCTCCTGCTGGCCCTGAGACCCGTAGGCCACTCTGACTGTGCCTGACCACGGACCTGTGCTTTGTGGTTTCTGTACGACAGGCCTCAGGTTAACCAAAATCAGGTTGCTGTGTGGGGCCCTGTTATTTTAAGTATCGGTAGAGGGGAACTCCCTTTAATATGACTACTGATCTTCCAGGACTGGTGGGCCTTAGCAGCATCTGATCTAAAGTGCTCTTTCTTCTGTCCCTGTTCCTTCCAGTGGAGGCCATAGTGGAATTTGACTACCAGGCCCAGCACGACGATGAGCTGACGATCAGCGTGGGTGAGATCATCACCAACATCAGGAAGGAGGATGGAGGCTGGTGGGAGGGACAGATCAACGGCAGGAGAGGTTTGTTCCCTGACAACTTTGTAAGAGTGAGTACAACGTGAAACCCTTTTCCTGTCTCCTGTGTGGGTTCTACTGACCAAAGCTTTGGGGGCACTTGAGGAATTTCATGGGCTCTCTTACGGGATGAATTGATGGTTTGACCTCTTGCGTGCTATCAAGAAGAGCATGTAGAGCTTTGCACCAACTATCTAGAGACCCATTTTGAAATCACTTTCTTAAGGCCCAGAATGTCCTCTTTTTAAACTATGTCACTTAGAAAATGCTGGAAAAATATAAAGCTTGTTAAACTGTTTTTATTTATGTACTTGTTCACTTGCTTTGATGTTTTAAGAGAATTTTACCCTTTTCCATTCCATTCAAAATGAGGTGAAAGTAGTTTTGACTATTTAAGTCAAGTAGCAATCAAACTAAATGTAGAATTCCAGTTATGCTATGTTTTCGAACTTTATATTCACATCGCTTTTTTGATAGGAACTATATTATTTTTCTTTCCCCTTTATGGTCATGAAGCATTGCATAAAATCTACTTTTTCAGTAAGGTTTGGAAAATTATGCCCTTTGCAGAAATCATCTAGGGGTTAACTACAAAAATGCAGCTCATTCATGTTAAGAAATTATATACTGCAAGTTGTACATAATAGTTGGGATTGGGTTAAAAAAAAAAAAAAGGCGGGTCACCTTGAGGCTGTTCCCAGTGGGAAATACCAAGTAGGTCTAAAAATTTTTTGTACCGTAAACTTTCTATCTAATGCTGGAGGAGACTGGATTGTTCTCGGTAGGAAGGGCTGTGTGCACAAATCCGCAGGGCCTCTGCTGTAGTTTTGGGGGGGTAGCAGACCATGCCTAAGACCTGCGGCTGTGGGGAGCAGGTGGTGTGGGGAATGCTGGGCCTAGAGAAGCAGGTGCCCTGGTCAGAGAGTCTCGAGGGCTACATGGGAGGGTTTTATGAAAAGGGATTGATGATGAAAAACAGTGTCCAACCCCTGGGCCCTCTACCTGTGCCCTGCCCCCCAAGTGTAGAACAAATAGGAACTCAGTTCAGTGTCTTTCCTCAGGATCTTGCCTCAGAGTGTTCCTGCTAACAGTTCTTTTGTTCATTTCTTTTTGTTGTGCAGAAGGCTGGGGGAAGTTTTGTTGGTAACATGCTGATAAACTTACTTTCTGTAGATAGTTGTGGGAGTGCAGACTTTTTTTTCTTACCTTATAGTTGAACCTAGCAGCTCTCTCCCCTTTTAAGAGTAGGAAAGCATTACATCTGGGCTACTACAGATTGACTCTGTTGAATTGATGTGCAAATGGGGGTGAATTATTTTGCCCTTCCAAACAAAATCCCCAATTTTGGGACAAGGACTGTCCTTGAAGTTGAGCAAATTCTGGTGGGGAAGGACGATTTCTCCAGACAAAAGGGGGAAGGTTTGGTGTGAAGATGGAGGACTAAGAAATGAGAGAAGAGGACCATGGGAAAGAAAAAGGAATATCTGGGGAAGAGAGAAGAGGATCCTGGGAAGGAGGTGAGGACTGTGGGAAAGAGAGAGGAAGACTCTGGGAAGGAAGGGAGGACTTGGGAGGAGAGAGGACATCCCTGGGAAGGAGTAGGGACTACAGTGTTGGCACCAGTTTTGGGGTGGGGGGAGGCCCTATTTGGAAAGCCTTATTTTGATGTCCTGTAGGCTCAGTGGCCCCTCATTCCAAACCAGAAATCCATTGACTCAGAAAACTTCTGAGTTGGACTTTGCTCAGGACTTAAGGCTGGGCCGCCTACTTAGGCGTTTGGGGGGGCTGGCAGGTACCAGGACAGGGAAGCGCAGTGCAGGAAGAGCCCAGGCAGGCTCGGAACCTCTCCTCCTTGCTCAGGGGGTGCTGGGGGGCGGGAGCTCCTCACTGTGAGCCCGGGGTGATGTGGTCCTGGCCGAGGGGCCTCTCTCCACCCTCCTCCCCCTGCTGGGCCTGGGGCTGGGCCTGGGGCCACCACGGCGGGCTCCTGCCCTCTGGCTTCCCTGGGCTTTGGCCCAAGGGGAATGCTGGTAGGAGATGGTCAGGAGGGAGGGAGGCCAGCCAGGTCAGAGATTACCCTGCTGGCTCGCTACCCCCGGGGTTGTCCCTCTGCCAGAGGGTGGCTGCTCCTAAGTCCCCTTCCTCCACGCTCCTTTCTCTTCATCCCCTGTTTCTAGCCCCGCCTCTTGCCTCGCAGTTTCTCTGTACCTCACCCACTTGGTTGTGTGTGGGGGGAGTCTCCTTCTTAGTCCTGCCTCAGATTACCTAATTCGGGCGTGCAATCTGTTTCCTTTTTGGAGCCCGACTACTTCATCTGGCCACTGTGAGGACTAAAGGAGTCAGGATTTAGCACGTGGCTGGCCACCTACTGAGTGTGTCCCCATCCATGTCACCCTTTCCCCTGGCCCGAGGGCCTAATCACTTGTGCTCTCCCCTCGGCTAGAGCACTTCCAGTGCAGGAAGTCACACTCTAGGGAGGTGCTCCTTCCACCGGAGCCAGAAAGGATGTGGCAGGAACGGCTAGGGCTGCGCCACTTGCGGCTGCCACATTTGGCAGAAAAAGAAACTTCTATTCTTTCAGATGGCTGAGTCTATTTTCAAGTCTTCACCCACTGGGAATGTTTTAGGCCTATTATTGAAAAACCTAGTAGGTGGATGCAGTGGGGTTTAACAATAACGCAAACTGCCGTAGAGGGTTCTAGAAGCTGAAAATACATCTTTAGGTAATAACAATCATACTGGCATAAGTTTGCGGTTTGGAGAGTGGGTTTACATATGCTTTCTTTAGCTCAAGAATAATTTGTCCCTGGATTGAATTGGGGAGTCTTGTGGAATCCCACTGTTGTTTGTGTGCCTTTATGCCAGTGTTGCCACGATCAGAGAGCTTACCTTACGCGCTTTCTTGATTCATTTATCGGATCCTTAATCAGCGTCCTTATGGAGCATGGTCCCCCAAGGTGTTGGGATTCAGTATCCACCCTCAACTCTGTATTGTCTCAGTTTCTCAAAAGAAAACTACCAGCCATTCCAGTCACCCCCTTCTTAAGAAGATGCCTGGGCTTTGCCAGCTCTTGGACTGAGATTTGTTGGCAGGCGTAAATGTATCCAGCCAGGGTACAGTCATGCCCTTTTGGGTTTATCTTCCTTTTTCTTTTATTTAGTTAGTTCTTATTTATTTACTGTACACGTGAAAGAAGAATCCTTTTAAATTCCCCTTTCCTTTCTTCTCCCTACCTGCTTTTTTTAGAATCCATTTTTCTCTCTCTCTCCTCTTTTTTAAAAAAAATTATTCATTGTTAGGTGAAATTTACATAGAGTAAAATGCTGAAGTCATAACTGTACCTCTTGGTGAATTTCTTTTTGTAAGTGTGCACCTCTGTAACCATCATTCAGATCAGTCCTATTTCTGTCCCTCCAGAATCATGCCTTTTCCAAGTCATTCCCCTTCCCATAGGTAAGCTATCATTATAGGTGAGGCTTGCCTGTATTTGAATTTCATATAAATGGAATCAACAAGTATGTGTTCTTTTAGGTACGGCCCCTGTTGCACAACAAAATGTTGTTGCATACATCAGTACTTTGTTCTTGCTGTAGAGTATCCCATTTTATGAATATGCCAGCATTTGTTTATCTGTTCTCCTGTTGATGGACATTCAGGTCGTTTCCAGTTTGGGTATTTTATGATTAAAGGCTCTGAACATTCTTGTGTAAATCTTCTTACAGACGTAGGCCCTTGTTTCTCTTGTGTATTTACCCATGGGAGTGGCATTGCTGCGCACTCACTTTTAAGTGTATATACTTTTTTCTCTTTAAAGCTGTGGCCTCCGTGGATGGGTTGGGGGTGTCATGCCTGTGTCGGAGCCCTGTTTGTGCCACATTAGCCCGCTGAGCCAGTCAGCCTGAATCTGGTTGTCTTCATGTAGCTGCCCTGTGAGCATGACAGCCGAGGAGCCCTAAAGCCTGGAACTCACTCTCCCAGGGACCATTTGATTGTTGGGCCCAAGAAGTATCAAAGACTCCTTCTTAAATTGTTGAAAACATGCCGATAGAGAAAGTTTTATTGTGTCAAAATTTTATTGGACTCATTCAGTGAGGGAACTAGCAGAATCACAAAACTGATTCAGTGAGGATATGAGGAACACATGAAAAAGTCAGTGCAGAAAGGGATGTTCAAATAAGATTGCAAAGTTATATTCAAAACAGGTTCGTGTTTTAGAGAACAATACAGTCTTAACCTCTGGGGTTATCATCTCTACCAGAGAAAAAAAAAAAAGGAGCACACCTTATCATTTTTAAAAAAATTTTTTATTGTTATGTTAAGCACCATACATTACATCATTAGTTTTTGATGTAGTGTTCCATGATTCATTGTTTGCGTATA